GCAGGTGCCATAGAAAATATGAATAAAGCAAATGAGCACTTGGCTGCAATTTAGATTCAGAAACATCAAAATCACTTAAATTGCTACTGCAGTCAGAAGACGCATCTTTATTCATTTTAACATCAAGTTATACTGTGGTTTTGTTTAAATAGCTTTTGCTTAAGAATAACTTATGTTTTTAGATAATTGGGGACTAGATTTTAGATGATTTTTGATAAATATTGTTTATTTTGTCAGGTATTTATTACACCTAACATTACAGATATGTTACCCTAATAAAAAGTCCCCATAGATGAAATAATGTCTGAGCTTTACTTTAAAATACTCCAACAAAAAATTAAAAATAGACTGGGGGTGAAGGGGTTATCTGTAGTTATCTATTGATAATCTACCTGATTATTTGAAAGCCATCTTTTGTTGTTGATAATCCTTTGCCACCCAGGTAAAATACTACATTTCCCAACCTCACTTGCATGTAGATGTAGCTATAAGCCTTCATCTAGGACAATGAGATGCAAGCATAAACATTATAAATAGCTTCCAAAAGTGTCTTTAAAGGTAGTATACTTTTCTTCCTTTACCCATCTTTCTAGAACATGGGTGTGATGACTGGCATTGAAGCAGCCATCTTAGACCATGAAGACAAGGGCTATATGCCAGGGATGGTAGAAGGTGAACTGGAAGTCACTTAGGAGCATGATGACTTTTGGAGCACCTGGACTGACCACCCTGGACTGACCACCTCCAGATCTTACACAGGGAAGAAATCAATTAGTATTCTTTAAGTCATCATTATTCTAATCTCTCTCTTTTTACGTGTGTGTGTTGGCTGGCCAGTACAGGGATCCAAACCTTTGATCTTGGTGTTATTTTCTTTTTTCTTTTTTGGTGGCTGACCAGTCTGGGGATCCAAATGAGTCTGTCTTTTCTTTAGGTTATCTAATGCTGTGTAACAAACCACCCTAAAACTGACTGAGTGGTTCAAAGTAACATTCATTCCTTTTTTTTTTTTTTTAATCATTTCTGATTCTGTGGGTTGACTGGGCTCAGCTGGGAAGTTCTTCTGCTCAACATGATGTCTTCTGGGGCTTCAGTTACCATGGGCTCAATGGGCCTGGAATTTCCAAGATGACGCACTTAAGCGGCTAGCAGTCGATGCTGGATGTTGACTGACAGCTCAGTTAGGACTGTTGATTGATGTGTCTACTTGTGGCCTCTACATTTGGTTTGGACTTCTCAGAGCATGACATCTAGGTTCCAAGAGGAGATGTCCCAAGAGAGCTTTCCAAAACGGGAAAAGCACAGGCTATTCGTCCTCTTAAAGGCCACACCTGGAACGGGTACAGTGTTCCTTCTTTTACAGTCCTAAGGTAAGGCCAGATTCAAGGGGAGGCAGAAAAAATCCTACCTCTCCATGGGGAAAGTGACAAGGAATTGAAAGTCATCATTAATCCATCACGTGTGTTATATTCAATGGAAATATATATATACAAAGATACTTCAAAACTTCATGGAAAAATAGATTTAAAAAATAATATGAATCTTTCTTTTTTTTTTTTTTTTGTCTTTTTCCGTGTCCGGCAACGGATCGCAACCCTCAGTGTTGCCCCCGTACCGGACTGGGGACCAGCAACGGGATTGCAACCCTCGGTGTTGCTCCAGTGCCTCACTCAGCCAGTGAGCGGGAACCGGTCTGTATGTGGGATCCGAACCCTTGGGCGGGAGCGCTGCCACGCTTCCCAAGCGGCGCACTATCCAGTGCGCCACCGGGCCGGCCCCATAATATGAATCTTTCCATGAACTTTTTGAAGCACACTTGTATGTATTTACTGAATGCCTGAGTTTTTGTGGTTGGCCTGTACAGGGATCCAAACCCTTGACCTTGGGGTTATAAGGCAAGGCTCTAACCAATCGAGCTAACTGGCCAGCCCTCCCCCCACCTCATTTTTAGAAGGGCACACACTACAGACTAGATTTCCCCCAGCCATTTTTGCAGCTAGACCTGGCTATTAGACTAAATTATAGCCAATGAGATGTAAAGAGAAGAGGTGTGTTTGAGTTCTAGGTTCTGTTCTTAAAAAATAATTTTATGAGCCCTTCTCTCTCTCTCTCTGTCCTTCCCACTTCCCGGGGGCTCAAAACCAGAATTAGAAGCTGCATGTTGATAAAAGCAGAGCTATCCCACCAACCATAGATAGCTCAACTGTTTACTGCTAAGTGACAGAGACATACATTTACATCTATTTTTTTCTTAAGGTGAGGGGCTCTTTGTCACAGCAGCTGAAAGTGCTCCCTAATCAATGCAATATGCACTGGTTTGGTTAATATTTTTCTTCGTAAGTTTCTTGAGGGTAGGGTTTATGTCTGCTATTACTCCCTATTGTACCCCCAGCATCTAGCACAATACCTTATACATGGAAGACATTAAGTAAATGTGTGGTAAGTGGATGAATGAGCACTGGGGGGAAGCAGGTACAGGGACAAAGTGGAAGTCCTAAGGGTGAGGATGCTTGGGTTTGCAGGATAGGAGAGGAGATTTAATTGAAGCTAATAGTATTCATTTTTCTATCACTATTGTAACAAATTATCACAACTAAGTGGCTTAAAACAATGCAAATCTGTTATCTTTCAGTTCTGGGGTCACAAGTCCAAAGCGGGTAGGCAGGGCTATGTTCCTCCTAGAGACTCTAGTGGACAATCTTGCCTTTTCCTGCTTCTAGAAGCCACCTGCATTCCTCAGCTTGTGACACTGCGTCACTCTAACCTCTGCTTTCATGGTAATATACCTTCTCTAATTTTGATCCTCCTACCTCTTTTTTTTTTTTTTTTTGGTGGCTGGCCTGTAAGCAGTATGGGGATCTGAACCCTTGGCCCCAGTGTTATAACACCGTGCTCTAACCCACTGAGCTAATGTGACCAACATTTTTATTTTTTATTTTATTTTTTATTTTTTTTTTAAGATGACCGGTAAGGGGATCTCAACCCTTGGCTTGGTGTTGTCAGCACCACGCTCAGCCAGTGAGCAAACCGGCCATCCCTATATGGGATCCGAACCCGTGGCCTTGGTGTTATCAGCACCGCACTCTCCCGAGTGAGCCACGGGCCGGCCTGTGACCAACATTTTTAATATCATTTAGTATCATTGTGCATCCATGCAGTAGAAGTAAATACTACTTAATGAAATTTGAATGTTAGTTGATATGTTTAGAGGTGTGTGCAGGATCGCAATGTAAACTCTGCTTCTTAATCTATGTCCCTGTCCAAAACAGGGGGAACAAAAAAAAGTTAAAGCTGCCGATCTAAGGTTTTCTGATCTCTCTCCATGTGGTGGGGACAAGTTATCTTGTTTAATTCTCTCTAGGACTGACATGGTAGTATTTTTAGTTTCCCCTCTCTCAGATGAAAACTCAGAAAGATCCATATATCACTCAGGCTTACCCAGTGAGGCAGAGGTGGGGCAGTCCAAAAACTGCAAGTTATCCTCTTCTCCTTAAAGTGGGAAGGGGAGGTGGAGGGGAGAAGTTGGAAGTCTTAATAAAAATATGTAGAGGGTACTAACATTAATAACGTGCATGTATTTCACAGGGCCTTAACCTTTAGGTTAGTAGGACTACAGCCCTTAGCTGTTAGAAGGGCCACAGTCCTTAGATCAGGCTGCAGCTCAGTGGGATCTTTATCTTAGTAGGAACACAGTCCTTAGCTGTTAGAAGGGCCAAAGCCCTTTAGTTTAGGCTGTAGCATGGGGCGGCCACAGCCCCGTAGTTTTAGCAAGGCCAGAGCCTTGTAGTTTGAGGAAGAACCTATCCTTTTAGCATTGCACATAGAAATGCTAAGTTTGGGAAAAAACAGAAAACTTTCACAGAACTAAAAAGTCTCTGGTGTGGATATGAAAACTGTAAGACAGCATAAGTGCTTGCTCTAAGGGCAGATGCCCATGGTGCAGCTAAACCTAATTATGGGAAAATATGTGTACTGAAAGCGTCAAGGCTACTCTGCCAATTAGCAGCTGGGTCCACATTTCACCTTCAGCTGCTTCTTTAAGTTTCCTAGGAAACTAAGGGTTGCCATAACAATGACCTCATTGGTTCTTTTGTATGTCACATAGCTTAGTTTTATGACTCCTTTGATGGTAAATTGCTTGAACTATTTTTAAGTTGCACCTGCTTTAATGAAAATTGTTATGCAGCCAGTTTATGTTTTCACTATGCTGGATTAACCACCTGTGTTCTTTTCTGTAACTTTTTGCCTGGACAATAAAAAAACCGAGAAAAGCCCTGATTCAGGGTCATTTCCCAGGAATTCCTTCTCTCTTGAAGAGGTCCTCTCCTGGGATTTAACCCTTTTGAGCCTCTCACTGCTCAGGAAAAATGTGCTTTGAATAATCCTTCACGTCTCCATCTCCATCACCCCGAGGGAGAGGTGACAAAAATAGAGGAGAGTGTGTGCTCCACCAAAAGTATGGCATAAATCAAGAAAGGAACATACAAACGTTGAGTGGTGGGAAGTGCTTAGAGACAGAATCTGTGTGCATGAAGATGAGAATGGCATCCAGGTTACCTAGATGAAAATAGAAGTTGATTAATAAGTTCAGGAGAAACTGTGCAGGTCAGCCAGGCCTTGGGGAGGAAGAGAGGCAAAACGCGGAGAGCAAACAGGCTGCAAGGTGAAACGGTTTGCATTATTTCTACCACAGCTGTGAGGGCAGCCTAAGAGCACAGCAGGAAGCTGACTGAGTAGCGTTTAGTGAGTTCGGGTCAAAGCTACTATGCACACTCCACGTGCTGTTGTCCTGGCAGCGGACCCAGCTCTAGGATAATGGAGGTTCAAGGACAACAGCCGCAAGCAAATGAAGCTGTCACAATGGACGGTCTGCTCTTGGTCTACCTTTGGGGAAGTCCTGAGGGAAAGTTTGCAAGGGGTTTGCTTGGCGACCAGGAGTGATGTCATGAAGTGAAAGACGAAATATTGCTTAAAGGGTGAGATGGAGCATGAGCAATGGGGAAAAAGTGTGAACTTCTTTTGAATCCCGCGAGTCTGGTAGAAATCGCTGTTACACAGTAGCTAACATTTAGTGAGCATTTACTACGGGACAGTCACTTTTAAAACACTCTTTGGGTATTATCCATTTCATTCTACAACAATCCTATGGAGTGAGTATTATCAGTGAGCCCATTTTATAATGAAGGAAACCGAGGTTTGAGGAAGGTCACTTTGTGAATGTCCCAGTGAGTGAATGCCAGCACTGGGATTCCAATCCAGGTCTTCTGGCTTGGAAACCTTAACCACTGAGAGAACCTTCCACTCAACCGGAGTCCTGAGAAGATCCAGAGGGAAGCTACAGCGCACGGCAAAGCCTGGAGGGCTGGAGGGCTCTGGGAAGGGCCAGTCCAACCCCAGGGACCCCAGCTTCTCCTCCGTCCCTCTCCGGAAGGTCTTCTCACGTTGCAGGTGTCTACATCCAGGTGTCCTGGGGCCAGACGCCACCAGGGGCACGGCTCCAGCTGCGCCAGTCCAAAGTGATCAGCGCTCCCAGGGAGATGAGGACCAGGCCGGCCAGCCCCAGGCGGACGAGATTCCCCCGCGTATAGTCCAAGGAGGCGGAGTCTGCGGGGAGGAGCCCGGAGAAGAAGAGAGAGAGGCCGTCAGAGCCGGATTCCCAAGCCTCGGCCCTGCCCTCCCAGCCTCGAATCCCGCTGCGTGGAGTTGGGGACCCAATTCCTGAGTCTCAAAGTCGAGGGGGAGAGAGTCGATGGGAGAAGGAGGTCTCGATTTCTGTGTCTGAGAGAGGAGGCTGAGCCAGAACTCCCGAATCTGAGGGAGGGGAGGAATGGGGACCTGGACTCCTGTGTCTGAGGGAGGAGGAGCTGGGGACCTGGACTCTCCAGATGGAAGCAGTGGTGAGCCCAGATCCAGGCAAGTCCAAACACTGATGCCCACCGTGTGCATTCTTGCATTCACACACACCCACCTTCCCCCCTCCCTGCGGCAGGTCCTGAAGGTGGCCATCCTGGCAGAGAAGTACGCAGTGGACTACAGCTGGTACGTGGACACTATCCTCAACCTCATCCGCATTGCGGGCGACTATGTGAGTGAGGAGGTGTGGTACCGTGTGCTGCAGATTGTCACCAACCGTGATGATGTCCAGGGCTATGCTGCCAAGACTGTCTTTGAGGTCAGCATCCCTCACCCTGACCTCCATGGGGGGACATAGAGGCAGAGCAAGGACAGCTGGGGCTGTAAGGGTAGTAAGTGTGACCACCATCTTGCTTATTCTTCTGCACTGGGGTGACCTCAGAGTGGTGCCTTTGCTTCTTTGGGCCACCCAAAGGACATAGGGGCCATAGCTTCATGGGCCTGATGTGAGGAGACCACAGAGCATGCACATGGGGCACCCACTGTGTAGTTGCCAATTCCTGCATCTTAGTAATTTCCCACTCTCTTTTCCTGGGTGTGAGGGAGGAGGGGCTGGGGACCTGGACCCCTGGGTCTGGGAGAGGAGGGGGCTGGGGACCTGGACTCCTGGATCCGAGGGAGGAGGGGCTGGGGACCTGGACTCCTGGGTCTGAGGGAGGAGGGGCTGGGGACCTGGACTCCTGGGTCTGAGGGAGGAGGGGCTGGGGACCTGGACCCCTGGGTCCGAGGGAGGAGGAGCTGGGGACCTGGACCCCTGGGTCCGAGGGAGGAGGGGCTGGGGACCTGGACCCCTGGGTTTGGGAGAGGAGGGGCTGGGGTCCGACCGACCGTAGGGACCCGGTCACCTTCGGAGCTTATGACCAGCGGCTCGCTGCGCTGCGACAGCACATAGGGGGCGGAGGGCGTGTGGTAGTAGCAGCTGTAGGTGCCGGGAGCGCGGGCGCCGAGCAGCGGGAAGTCGACCCAGCGCTGCGCGGAGTCGCGGTACTGCAGTGGAGCCGCCAAGCCCACCCGGTACAGCGCGAAGCTCATGCCCCCCACGCGGCCGGCGCAGCGCAGGCTCACGTTGGCGCCGGTCGCCACCACCGGCCCAGGCAACGCCACCAGCGACGGCCGCGGCAACTGGTCTGTGCGGGAGGATGGATGCGGGGACCTGAGTGCCACGCGCCGCCGTGCGCTCCCCGGCGCTCGCTTGCTCTCCCCTCCCTCCTTCTTTCGCTCTTCGTCTCTGCCTCTCACCTTTCTTTTTCTCTGTCTCCTTTGTTTCAACCAGTGTCTCTGTTATCTCCCTCAGTTTCTGTCTCCGTGTCCATCTCTGTGCCTTTGTGCGTCTGTGTCCCCATCTCTTCCTGTGTCTCCGTCTCCAAGCTGTCTTTCTCTGCACCACCGCCTCCCTCCCCTTATATGTCGCTTTTCCCTCTGTGTCTGTGACTCACTAAATTCTCTGTCCCTGTTTCTGTCTCTCGTGCGTATTTCACTCCTCCCCCCGCCCTCCCGTCTCAGATGCTGTGCCTCTGATTTTTCTTCTCTTTTTGTGTCTTTCCCAGGGTTTCTCAACCTCCGCACTAGTGACATTTTGGATAATTCTGGAGAAATATTTGTCATATGGGGGTTCTCTCCTGTGTGTTACACGATGTTGAACAGTATCCCTGGCATCTACCCACTAGATGCTAATAGTACTCCGTCTCCTAGTTGTCACAACCGAAAATGTCTCTACACGTTGACAAAGATCACCTGGAATGCACAATTGCCCCTGGTTAAGAACCACCCCTGTTTCTCTGGATCGATCCCTCTGTCTGTCTCTCTCTCTATAGTTTGTTGTTGTTTTCTGTACGTCATCGTATAAGCCTGCCTCTGTCTTTCTCTCTCCCTGCATCTCCTTCTCTTCTCTCCATGTGTCTGTGAGTCTGTCAGTCTACCTACGAAGCTCTGTCTAGGTATCCTTGTATCTCTCTCCCTGCTCTCTGTGTGTCTGTCTCTGTGAATCTATCCGCATGAAATATCTTCAGCTCTGCAGATGCCTCTATCTCATTGCCTCTCTCCCTCTCTCTCTCTCTGTCCCTCTTCTCCCCTCCCTTATACCATCCCTGTGTCCCTTCTCTTCCCCTGCCCCCAGGACCTCACCTGTCACCAGCAGTTCTAGGGCATCGCTGGGCTGAGACCAGACACCTGGCCCCCAGTCTGGCCTCCGGTAGCAGCAGCAGTAACTGCCTCTCTGGGCTGGAGTCACCTCCTCCAGGAAGAACTCTGCCAGTTCCGAGGACACATCCCGAAAGAGCATGGGGGCAATCTCTCCAAGCTTGAAGAGTGCAAATCTCCAGGCGGGCTGAGGTGCCCGGCACCTCAAGGTCACATTGACCCCAGGGGTCACGACTGCAGCTGGCTGAGCCCCCAGCCATGGCTTGGGGTATAAAGCTGGGGGAACTGAATAAATGGGGTTGCCTGGGTCCTTGGGCCTCCTGGGTGCCCAAGGAGATAAAGAGGAAGTTGGGGAAGGGGGAAAACCACCCTGGATGATTACTGCCCCTTTCTCAGACTCAGTTCCCTGTTCATAAAACAGGGGAGGGTCTGGACTCCAGTCAAGGGTTGTCAGAACTAACTGAAAATTAGTAAGAGCAGGCATAAATTTCTGAGCTTTACTCCACAGTTTCTCAACATAGTTTCAAAGGGTCAGGTCCCAGAATTCTAATTTTAAATAGCTGTCCAGAATATTTGCAACATATTTAACATATCTCAATAGTTGTCAAAACATGCTATTTGAGAAAAAAAAAGAAAATGTTGGTTCCCTACCTCACACCATTCCCCAAAACAAATTCCAGATTTTGGTTTTTTTTTTTTGGCAGCCAGCCTGTATAGGGATCCAAATCTGTGACCTTGGTGTTATAACAAAAATTCTAGATTAATTAAGGACCTGTGTGTGTGTGTGTTTAACTATAAAAGTATTAGAAAAATAATAGGAAAATATATTTGTCTTGGAGGAAGGAGGCTTCTTTAAATATAAAATGGAGG